CACACACACACACACACACACACACACACACACACACACAAAATAAAATGATAAAAATATACTTCATTCTATATTAATAACACAATCAGTAATTTTATAATTTTATACACAATATACAATATCATAATTTCCTTTTTTTTTTATTAAATTAATGGTAGGAAAGAAAACGATAAAATTAACTTGTTAACAGCTTTTTTTTAATCACAGCTTTAATGTAATTCTAACAATAGGACTTTATATATTTTTAAAGACATTTCTACCAATATGAAGGATGATTTTTTATTATTGTTTAAAACAAATTTATTTACTAGTCTTTATGATTATATTCATTTCTCGAATATTATTTTTTAAACATATTTTGTATATTACATATTTTGAAATATAACAATTAATCTTCAAAGATTAAAGAGATATTCATCTTTATAATTCCTTTGTTTCTTAGGATTTTTTCTCAGAGAAATTGCAATAGGTCATCTTTTACCATCAAGTATAGATATAGTTCAGATATAGATTCAGTATAGATATAGTTTTCAAATCAACTTTATTGTAAAAAGAATAAAGTACAAACTTATCTCTTACAAATGCGTTCACTTTCACTCTGTATTTGATCTCCATTTGTCTCTCTACTTCTATTAAGATGCACTTCTTCATTGGCTGAATTTACATTGATGACTTGTGAAGATGGAAGAACGTTGCTCCCAAGATTCATCATAGGAGGTGAAGACGGAATAGGCATGGGCATTGTATTCTTACTATTATTCGTTAAATTTGGTTGATAAGTTGCTAAACTTTTCAAACCAATTACTTCGGGATTCTCTTTCCAAAAACGGTCACCGATAATATCATCTACTAAAGGAACTACAGCAGGATTCAATCTTCCTGTACCATCTGGTATTAATTTCCGAATAAGCGTTGTGCCCTTTCGAAACATTGACGGTTCATTATTATAATTTATACCAAATTCTTGAAAAAGTAATTCATTTTTATGCGATGCCAGAGTGCCTCTAAGTTTTTCTTCCGCCTGTAATATCCATAAATATAAGTATTAAAACAGAAGAAAATAATTTGATTCTATTGCATATTTAAAAAAATGATAATATATCATAATTTGCTATTATGATATTACATGCAATTGCACTGATCGACATGTTAAAAATTTTCTAAAAAAAGAAAATGGTTTCCCGTAGATTTCTGGGCGCTAAAAACGATGCCCTCAAAATTTGCCCATCACATTATATTTTCGATAAAAATGAGGTTAAAACTCTTTTAAAAAACTCGTTTTTGGCAATATTTGAAAAATCATAGCGGACGAATCTGACGTGCTAGAAACTTCTCTTAAACATTGTATTCGAGCAAATATCTTCAATGTTACAAAACTATTTACCCGCACCATTTATTCATTTAAGGGCAAGGAATATATTTACAATATATCTTAACACTAGTAATTAAATTCTAAACAAAATTTATATTAAAATTTGTTTTTAAAAGAGAAAAATTTAAAAATCTGTTAAAACAAAGTTTACTTTTTATTTATATATAAAAGTAACCTCTCATTAAAAAATAACATTATTGTCATAAGATATACTTGTACAATATAATAACAAACAAATGACGATTATTAAGCTACAATTATATTAATAAATTATATATATATATATATATATATATATATATATATACATATACACACGCACAGATGTATGTGTATAAAATAACTGTGTAAGATCTATATATACATTTTATATATGACAGACATTTAAAAGAACCGGTTGATCACTTTCAAAAATTAATTGAAATAAACAAATTTTATTATTGGTAAAAAACATAGACAGCTATCTTTGCTTTACTTTTCTACATATTCACCATTTCCACTTTTCGGCACCAGTTTTGTAATGTCTTTTTTAGGAATATATCTACTGCCCGATTTCTATTCCACCATTTCTTGAAAATGATAGAAAAACATAGATTATTGTCAGAAATTATTCTCTCTTACAATTATGTGTGCCCACATATTGTGACTCGCAAAAAATTCAATAATTTAAACAAAGTATCAAAAAAAGGGCTAGTGAGCCTTGCACGGAGTTAGTGCTGTGATATCAAGTATATTTAGAATAAAAATTAGCATCCAAACGTTTCGGCTCCGCAGTGTAAGAACAGTATTGTTCAGAACTGTACTGAACTTCTACAGTACTACAGAAAGTACTGTTTTTACACTCGTTGTTGTACTGTAACTCTTGGTTAATTATGTGATTGTGAAGGGATTCTCTATTATTTTAGATATGTATATTGAATTACTCTGACTCGACCTAACAAATTCAGGATTGTTTGTAAGCTTCCCATGATAAGATTGAAACCTATTCTTACATATGGAAACAACAAAAAAACTCACCAATGTACCGGATCACATTACACTACGATCTTTCAACGAGCGATCTCACCGCGAGCAATTTTTATTACAAGCGACCTTATAGCTAACAAGCGACTTTTTATATAATGTATTAAGAAATTTTATATTTTTCACCCACTGAGGATGGCTCAATGCGGAGCCGAAACGTTTGGGTGCTAATTTTTATACTAAATATACTTGATATCACAGCATTAACTCAGTGCAAGGCTCACTAGCCCTTCTTTTGATACTTTAATTATTAATTATATGAGCCAGTCTGATACTTTTTTAGAATATAGAAATCTATATTCTATAGAAATCTGTGATACATACATATTTATATCTTTCTTTATCTCAAGAAATACTTTGGTCCTCAGGTAATATTTTTCACAATCAGTTCTTTACAATGTTTTAAGATGCTTGTAGCATTATCATTGAATTGAAAGATCAATTTAATATTTAATATTATTTCAGCGTAAAGTTATGATTGCATTCTTAAAAATCCCAAAGTAATCTGCATGCAGTTTATTATAGTAGAAATTAAAACAAAAATAAATATTCTTAGGCACGAACATATAGCCTTGATGTTGCGCTTTCTTTTATTTATACTTTGATCCTCAATGATTCCAAGAGGAGTTGAAAGCAGCGATACTAAATCAATTGAACTCTCAGATAGCAATGCTCAGGTACAAAGAATATTTAGAAAGAAACAGTGACTACGTAAAAAAGTAAAGTAAATATATAGATGTCTTTTATCAGTAAGAAAATTTTTTCATTTTAATTTTTTTAATGAGCAACTGGCCCTTACATTTGAAATACGGTTTATATTGATTTTCTCTTAATCTTAAATCTCTTATTATTCATGTTTACCTGACTCGGAGTTAATTTTCCTTTCAAAATAAGATTCCAAAAACAAGTATTATACAAATTATTAATGTGTACATCAGCCTGCCGCCAAGCTAGATAATCCCTTAAATTCTTATCTGTTGGATATAATACAATACGAGCGTCGAACGAAGGTGGATAATATAATTCTTTGCCTCTGAAGAAGTGTGGCCAGTGATAAACATACGCCGAGGCAAATAATGAATTTACATTAGACATTAATTTTGACGCTAAAACAAACATAAAGATATTAAATACAAGAAATGCTCTGTAAAGGTATAATCACTCAGCAATCAATAACGTGAAATTTCAATTATGTCTGTACAATGTTCACACATCTTACTTTAAAAAGAAAAATGTCACAATTTAAACTAATCAACTTGAAGTGAATCATAAAAATCAATTAAGCCTATAAAATAGCAATTTACAATTCAATTTTATTATGCTATGTTTTATTCAATGACACATTAAACTAAATATAATCTATGATTCTATCATTTTAGATCAGGCAAATCTCACATCGAGGCACACGATAGTACCTCTGCGTTTGTAAAGCTGCGTATCTTTCCGGAAGACGAATGAGTATTCGTCGCTTTGACCAAAGCCCAATATAATCTGTTTAAAGTCTTCCATAACGGTGATAGCAGCGCGATTCATCAGCTCAAGAGCGGTCACGTCGTTCGGCTTGATGAACTGGTGCATGTCGCAGAACCTCGAAAAATTCCTGCCGTCTATTCTAATTACAATCCAGCAGTTCGGCAAGCAATTCTCGTCCCGTTCGAACTCCTTCACATACTCGAATTTACTCTTGGCCATCGTCGTCAGACACAAATATCGGCACGTGACAATTTGATTGGCCCGATTAACAATCTTCAAGAGAACACTCTTCATTCGGACGTTATACTTTCTGTCAGAAACGCGAGATCACGCTCCGTCGGAGCACGTCGCGTAGAAAGACCGTGAAACGGATATAATCGACACCTGTCATCCGAATATCACTTCCGGAGCTACAGGCAACTGTTGTACGTAAAATAAAGGCGACTTCTTTGGTTATCCGCAAATTATAAATCATATGTATAAAATAGAATCATGTTCTGTTTTGGAAGTTTTCTGACAATACAATAAACATGACGTCACAACAGTATGTACATATGTTATATGTATATATACACATATGTACTACACTGCCAACTGTTTTGAGGTTATTGTCAGCATAAACCTTTGAATATATAGATAAGGTTTGTTTACCGGTGTGAAACAGCTTGCAACCGACTTCAAGTCGGTTGCAAACTGTCGGACTAAGGTGCGTTCCCACTGAGCGCGTCACGCGCGCGTCATCTGAATTGACCAATCAAAACATCCTATTTTATTGCGTAATTTGCTTCGTAATCCGGAATTTCATACAAAGGAAGATTCTTTTATATCTAGGCTGCGTTCCGTTTAGCGCTTACAGCTGCTTACAGCGCTCACAAAATCATTTCATCCTTGTTGTTTAATTCAAATATTGAACAAAGACAAATGATGCT